TCTCTGTGTCTCTGTGTCTCTGTCTGTCTGTCAGTCAGTCAGTCTGTCTGTCTGTCTGGTACTGGGGGTATATTGCATGCGCGGGAAACTCGCAAGCCCATCATCCTTCTTAGGCACCTGTTCTCCTTTTCTCCTGCCATGTCGGGTGTGTGGTATGCGTACTGGGTTAGTGCCTTTTCTGGTTTGCCGGCATGGTTTACAGTTGAAAGATACGCAGATGACTTGCAGGTCGTGGCCGTGCTGAGGCTTCTAAACGTGGAGAACTGCTGGCCAGTGATTGTGTTGTGATGGCACTACCACCGCGGCTGTGCTGTGCCAACCCCACAACGTATCATAAGAAGCCAGGCATCATCTGGAGTATCCCCAACTTCCATATAGGCTGTGCGCTGAGTTGTGATGTGCAGCCGTGAAACAGGGCTTGTCCGACCACATGTGAAGCGTCTCGTTGCAGGTTGGATATCGCCATTCTTCCGGACCAGATGCGACGTGCGATGTTGTAGTCGAAGAATCCGCTTGCCACAAGATGCAAGCCTGTTAATGTAGAGCTCCGTGCTCACAGCCTGCCCGGCAAAAGGTGCCTTTTGTTGCAACATGCCTCGTGCCCTCGTCACTCTGTCTCATGTGCAGTTGACTCTTGCAGAGTTCTTCATGGGTGGCATTGGTGTTGTTGTGTACCCGGGGAGGCACTGGAACAGCGGCATGAAACAGCACTTGCCGGGCCTCAAGGTATTTCAGGAATACTCGGTGGTCTGCAAGTTTATATAAAGCTGTACTCGCACATATAAAGTCACGCAAAACCCTCGCGCGTGAAAGGTGCGTGAACGCAACGCGGAAAAGGGGTGATAGGGAACGTTTCTGGGTTGATTACGTCCCTGGGGGGCCCGGTACAGCTCTAACCTGATGTAAGGATTTATTTCATGTTTGTTTTCTGCTGGAAGGAGCTTTAACATGGGAGCTGTATGGTAGCCGCGAGCCTGACGAGAACTGGGTGCCCTTCGGGCCGAGGGGACGGTCTGCGATGGCGATGTTGAAGACTCTAGGGCTGTTGCAGCTGAGTCTCTGCATCACATGACTGCTGTGTGCAGAGTTGGTTCAAAGACGCACCTAGCGCATTGGGCAGCCGAGCAAAGCGAATGTCATTTTACTTCGTAAACATCGTAAACGAGATAAAGATGAGGTGAAGGCTCAACGAGGCCACAAAGAGGACAACGCGCAATTAGGCGCTTTCTTGGGGTTGCCGGAATGTGTAGATCTGCTCGACCAGGGCATGGGCAAGAGAGCTGAATAGTCTTGGGTCATGCGGAATGTGTTGATGCCGGCAATTCTATTGTCTTCACCAGCAGTGCACACGCCTGACACACAGCTGCAGTCGGCAAGATATCGACTACAGCTGCACAGCTTGGCAAAGCTTTCAACAACCAGCGCTAAGTAGCAGCAGTGGCAACCTTGATGCAACTTACCGTTGTAAAGCTTCGCCGGGAGGGCTTGGCATGGATTGGAGCAGTTTCATACGTCAACTTAGCTAGCATAGCAGACACATGCTTGAGCAAGATGAAGAAGGGAATGGATCCATTCCGTGCAGCGTGCATCCCAGACAGACACCTTACCGTCCTTGCATAGGCCACTGGAAACGGTTCTAGTGTACATGCGTGTATTACAGCAGGTAAATCTTCTCAATGTGCAAGAGAAGATCGAAAGCATCTCCTCTGGAGGCTTGCGGCTAATATTCCATCGTCTGTGTCCGCTTTGTTCCAATCACTGCCGAGCTTGAGGGGACTCAGTTTACCTTGGCACTGCAATCGGGAACATTCTGCAGCTGTGGCCTCAAGCCCCCAGCCGCCTTGGTGCAATCTCGAAGTCGGTGAATGTCGCTGAGGTTTTCGTTCCCGGCAAAGAGCTCTGAGGACTTGCTGTGCTGGGATTGCATGCAGCCAGCTGTCGCAGATCTGCAGGATCCACCAGAAGCTGCACTGAGGGGCGCCGCGTCCCTTGGTTCAAAGCGACCTGTCGAGCAGGTTGGGCTCATGATTGACCGTGCTTTTCTACTGTGGACATGTAGAATCTCAGATGCTTCGTGCGCAGGTTTGTGCCACCTCCCGCTTTGTTTTCGCCATATCCGATGGAGTCCTCTATGTGCTGCGGGCAGACGTCCTGTCGGCCACGCCTGATCTGAGCTTAGCTATTTCGTTGCAGAGAAACATCCGACGAAGTTCCCTGTGACCGAGGTGGAGCTGTGCAGAGACGTCCTGCGCTTGATTGATTGAGCATGTCTTCACGTCTTCTGTGCTTTGGAATAAAGGTGAAGAACATGTGTCTGCACACGGGCTCCGGTGACGAAGCCACAAGCCCTGCAGAGGCGATGAAGAGGGCGGAAGACTAGGAATTTCAGACGTTAAACTCGGAGTTGTAGAGGTATGTGTGGCAATGCGGAAGAAGTTGGTCCTGTTCAGTCACAACGGCGGCAGCTTCGAGCAGCGACAGGCGCCGTTGGACAGTGCCGAATTCGTCCGTCCGCAAGTGGGGTCGCCCCCTGTTTCCATCGCCTCAGGAATTTCCGACGAATGAGGCTGGGAAGGGCACATACGAGCAATGCAACAGCTACGGATGCTAATCACCATATCGTGCAAATGGCCATCGAGAACTGAGCCATGGGATCGCTTGTAGAAGTCTCAAGATATTCCACAAGTCGTGATTCCTTGCAGCTTGCCTGTGACCAAGATATAGCAGCACATGGCCCGCATTTGCATGCAAGCAAATCCACTCATGGCTGCTCAGCTGCGCCATGCGGCGGATTGAAGTTCCGACAGCATGCGGCAGCCGCGTTTCCTTGGCTTGCAAAGATAGAACACCATGAGTAGAACCCCCCAGCTCGATGCTGTCTCAGAGCAGGGTTAAGATGGATGTACACCGTCCAACCCGGCCGTCATGGAGGTTTGGTATGGGAATCGTCCTAGCTTGGTAAGTACGAGATAGTGTACAAGGCAAGTGCCAGCACTCCACTGGGACCTGCGAGTGCAGTTGAGCAGGTGCTGGATGTGAGCACAGGCATATAAAATCATCCTAGGCATACCCACCGCTCTGACGGCTCGGTTTTTTTTGGGAAGGCCTTTGCTGCAATGCTTGACCACGACGGTGGCGCGAAGTGGGTCTGTGTGCATAAGTGTCGCCCCGGGTTGAATAATTCAAGGTAAGACTGTTAAGGCTGTGGGCTGGACATGTGCATGGGTCGCCATCCCAAAGAAGAGGGTCATTGTACATGCTGATGAGGTCAGGGACGGTTGACAGTTGACTGCATACCGGCAACAAAGTGCTATGGCAAGGCCGAGTAGAATGAAGAGAATCAGGTGCTTCAGGCCCGCCTGGCCTACGGATGAAAGGACAATTGTGACTGCAAACGGGCGTCATCGGGGTCACTCCCAGGCTGCCGTTTGAACCAACTGTCGCGCGCTTCATGCAGTTGTACGTTTGCCGGGGGCATGGCGGTGATGGCACTAGCTTTGGAAGTGACTGTAACTGGAAAGGTGAGTGGACGCAGTGTCGTGTACCCACACTAGTACTCGTACATGCAGAAGCGCTGAGCCTCTGAGCCAGCGGGATTTGAAAGCATGCAGGCCTCGACCTGGAAAGATTAGCCGCCACAGTTTTCCGTTTTTCAGCACGCAGTTGCACCAATCTGATTTCACATGCTGCAAACGTTTGCGTGACAGGCACGGATATGGCTTAAAAGAGCATCTAGCACATTGACATACTCATTGGTCGGTCAACTTGCAAGTAAGTGTGTGTATGTGTGTATATTGCGTGTTTGTAACCGGCACCATGCGCTGCTCGTCCAGGTTTTGGAGGTGGCTTCTTCCGACTTTGACGATGAGTCTGGCGCATCCATCTGGGACTCAGCACTCTGCTTGGGCGAAATCCTTGTGAAGCAGCAGACGCTCTCAAATCAAATTCATACTTGCAGTGAGGAGCGCCCTGCAAGTGAGCATGTTTGCAAAGGATGCTCTTTCATGATCTTTTACAGTCTTCATGGCGCAGATGCTATGGATGCTGAGGATCTCTTTGGGTCCAACAGTCCTGGAGCTTGGATCGGGAACTGGATATGTTGGGCTCATTGCAGCTGCACTTGGCCATCGAACCACGTTGACAGCGACGTGGCTGAGAGAGCGTCAACTGCAGCCATCTGGAACTTCCAGCGACAGTTTTAACTTTAAGTGAAGGGGGAACCAATGAGACTCGCAGGTTCGAAGAGGGTGGGCATCTCGTGACTGGGGGTAAACTTTTGCGTTCATTCCATGCCTTCCTCGTCCGTGTCATCACTCTCATCTGCCTGCAGTATCTGTTTGACCATGGCTCCCTTTTCTGATTGTTCTTCACGCTTGCACCATCACCGTCTTCCTTTACAAAAGAAGCCGACACAACATGTTTGCCCATGCAGAAACCCATTGAACACGAGCATCTTTTGCCGCGGAAGCATGCCTGTGTCACTCGCTAATCAGCGCCGTGCAAGAGATCGTATGACATCCGAAAGACCAGCCGCAAATTGCTATCCTGCGTGCCTTCGGTTCATCTCACTTTGTTGGATAGTCAAGAGTTTGGGATGCAATGTGTTTTGCTCGGATGCAGGTTCACATTGATTACTGTAGCATGCGTCTCGCAACTGTCTGCGTAGGCGCAGCGGACAGGATCTCCAGACCTCAAACCTTTGTTGCGTTATCCAACGGAAGGCCAATCTGGTGTCAGGGCTTGCAGGTTGAATCTAGCTTTTCGGGTTGCGGCAGTGCATATGATTACCTTATCTGAGCCGATCCCTGCAACCTCTTCCATTCTCATCCCGGCCACTAGCACGCCAAAGAGCGAAGCTGACATCAGGATCGTGCGATACTACTTCCTCAGCTGCAGGCAAACATCAGGGCGAATGGACTGGAGGACTGACCGCTAGGAATTTGAAACTGTCGTTTGGTACTGCATTCCGATCGGGAGGATGTAGCAGATGCAGTTGAACTGGAATGGGGAAGCGTGCGGCCCGATCTGGATGTCGACACTGTGATCATGTCCGCAGCCTGGAGAGCATTATGCCCAGATCTCTCTTAAATGTAAAACAGCGTACACAAGTTGCTGGCATGGCCCACATTCGCTTCAGCAAGGCCGGTCAACCTCTGCTTCCGGAGATTTGCGTCCACCTCACATCACTTGCAAAAGGCATTAGCAAGCTTAGACCAAGCTACAATGAAAGAGCATACTCCAGCCCCGACTGCATGCTATGGGTAACATACCGAAGCGTGTAGAAGCGGAGATATGTTTCATAGGGGGGCCGTAACAAGGAGTCTGCAGGAGGCGTTTAAGACCTTGGGATTTTGCAACTCCTGCTGTAGATTTTAACAGCTGCTTGTGAAATCCCCGCTTGAGGACTGCGTTTACCTTCCTCACTGCTTTCGGCCATTGGTGCAGACGTTGAATTCACTTTCCCCCAGCAGCATTATCTGGGCAAATGAGATGAGAGGAGTTGAGGAGGCGGGACGAAAGTGCAACCTGAGCTCTTGATGTCCCAAAGTCCCTTCTGTGTACAACTAGGGAACTAGGTCTCTTATGGAATCACCTCGGTTCTCGGAGAGGAATTTCGCAAGCTCATGGCTGACACTGGCTCCTGAGATGCAAGAGACGGAGCTTTGATCACTCTGGCAGGACTTCCTAAACTGGAGTAGGCAGCAGAACGGCTACTGCTGCTAGCTTTTTGTGTTTCGCGAGCTAGAAGACGAGTACTCGTATCATCTTGAGGCTGGACATTCGAAGCAGTGCCGCTGCCATCAGAGAATGACTTCGCGTGCGAGGATATTTGCGTGCAATGGATCCGGCACGCAGAGGATGAAATAAATGGCCGCGTGCAAAGCGGGCTGTGCAATCCGGTGCTGCACAGAGTCGCATACTGCTCGAAATGGCACTGCTAACTCCGTGCGAAGCTTGTTAGATCGAGCTTTTTGCTTCTGGTTGCAAGGCGGCTTTGGCCCTTGCGTGGCATCAGTCCTTGATATGCGCCGGCTTTCGTTCCTTGGCTATGCACCTTCCGAGCCGTGGCAAGTTGTGGATGATTCAAGCTGCTCAGTTTGCAAAGGTAGAGAATACAAGCTCTACTCCGAAAGGCCTGTGGCTACGGCTTCGGAGGATTTCGGTGGCCGTTGACAGCTCTAAGCCGCTCTGCCGTACCTGGCATTACTTGCAAACCACAGCTCTCAAGCAAATATGGGTAGCAGGCATAGCCTCAACTTGTCCTTGGGCACGGCGGGACATCATTAGATGAGAGCTTGTCTCAGGGCTTTATGTTGAAGCGTTCCATGGTACTGCAGTATTTAAGGGACTAACCAAGTCTTGCGTGGGAAGATGGTGGCGAGCGATGGAGCCATCAAGGTGGAGAGTTCGAAGGGCCCCTGGGCAGCGTCGGCTGCTTGCAGCGCCCAGGGTCCACGACCCCAGAATGAGGACGTGCATGTAATGATATGCGATGGGCTTCCGGAGGGGCCTGCTCCGAACATCAAGGCAGCAGGGTTGCCTGGGCTGTTCGATGATCTTCCAGAGCTGGTCAGTGGACCTTCGCTGCCAGCCGTGGAGAAGCCGCCGTGCACAGACTGCTTATTTGCCGTGTTCGATGGCCATGGTGGGATCTCGGCGGCAAGAGCTTGCGCAGAGCGGATACCGACGGAGATCCGTGAGGTGGGATCCCGTTTCCGAGAAATAACCCTTCTCCATCTGCACGGGGCATTTCTGCTTGGGCCAGGAGTTAGATGCTGCTGGCCGAGACACACCCGAAGCACGGCAGGCAGCCGCCACACTCTCAGCTTAGGCTCACAGTGCGGCACAAGGCGTTTAAGAACTTCTAGACCTCAAGACACACCCTCGCAGAAGTTTGCTCAGGTCGCGGGCACTTATCTTGTCCACACCTGAGCAGCATGTTTCAGGTTTGAGTGAGTCACTGAGTGCAGCTATGTTGGCATGTCAAGAGTCCCCGTACAAAGCAGCATTGCATGTTTCGTTGTAAGGCCCTTGACAGGCACTTACGCATCAAGCTCGGGCCTGCGGCAAGAGAGTGCGACTTGTCGAGCGAAGATGCCTTATTTCGACATGCTTCTAAAGCCGTAACTTCATGACTCGGGGAGATGCACTGCGAACAGGCCCATGCACGGATTCCGCAAGTTCTCTGCACCAGCAGCAGCGAGATCCTGCCCTCGAGTTCTCTGAGGTGGTACAACCTGCGTTTTCGCTTATGTGTGGAAGAAAGAGGCTTGGAACAGCTTGGAGTTGTTGACCCACATATCCAGCTGAGACATTGAAGTTCAGTCAGGACGTGCCTTCGACATATGGCGTTCTCCTTGCCAACTTGGGAGACTCGCAACTTGACGATCGGCCAAGCTCTGTGCAAAGTATCAACGGCATAGCCTTCTTGCGGCCTGCCGAGGCGTGGCTTGGTTTTGTCGCCTTGCTGCACTCAAGACGGCCTTGGTGCGGACAGTAGTGTTGCTTTCGCCAACAGCAGTGGCACGCAAAGCACAGTCTGACAATTCTCACCTTCCAGGAAGTCGCGCAAGAACGGGGGTCCAGCCAGCCATCGGGAAGCATTTGGTGGTCTGCACTTGAAAGCAAGTGTCTGTAGTCCTTCACGGACTATTGTTGAGGCCCAGTTATAGTTTAAGGGTCCTGGCATTCTGTTGGAATTTTCGGATGAGCTCAGGTCATGATCTGGTCGGAGAAACGAAGGACCACACGCCCAGTGCACCTGAGGAAGAGAAGCGTATCCGCGCAGCCGGAGGAAAGGCGGGCTACAGCCGGACCCGCTTTCTTAGCTCAAAAGCGCAGAGTTGCGATTCAGGTGGAGGTCTTCCCAGGGAGTAAAGTGCCTGTGATGCGGGTCGACGGCCGCGGCCTCGCTTGCTCCCTTGTTTGCTTCGTTGTTTAGTGCTCGTGGCGGCGGGCGGAATTGATTGGGCATGGGCGCAAAACCCCTCGCGTTCATCCTGATCTAGGCCGGGATAGGGCTCGATTTTGTTAATATGGTGTGCTGAGAAGCTTTTGAATTCATCGGCACGTGGGCGCGGAAGTCGAAAGGTTGGTTGCTGCTGCTGCTGCTACTACTACTACTACTACTACTACTACTACTCCTACCCCTACCCCGACCCCTACCCTTACCCCTACCCTTACCCCTACCCCTACCCCTACCCCTACCCCTATCCCTACTCCTACTCCTACTCCTGCTCCTGCTCCTGCTCCTGCTCCTGCTCCTGCTCCTGCTCCTGCTCCTGCTCCTACTCCTACTCCTACTCCTGCTCCTGCTCCTCCTCCTCCTCCTACTGCTGTTGCTGCTGCTGTTGCTGCTGCTGCTGCTGCTGCTGCCACTGCCACTACAATCACCGTTGCCACTACCGCTGCCACTACCACTAGCACTACCGACGATGACTACGACTATCATCACTAGCACTGCTACTGATACTATAAATTGGTACGAAGAATTGCTCTTACGATTAGTATCACCATTAACATTGCTATTGCTGTTATCACAAGTATTATAACTTCTAATTACTATTACCCTTACCATTTCTAGTACTTCTACAACCACTGCAACTGCATTGGCCGAAACATCCAGGTTAAGGGGGTCTCACGACGTGGATCTGGTGAAGAATGCGCGGAAGATCTGCGGAAGCTCAACGTGTAAATCCTTGCCCCATCGTAGTTTGTCATGGTTCAACATGAATCCTAAACCTCAAACCCTAGCGTGAACCCTGCTAGCTCTACCAGACTCTAGCAAGCTCCTCTATACTGAAAACAAGTACCAGAAAGCCATTTAACTATCTTCCCTTGGTGTGCATCTGACACATGGTTTCTGTGTTTCTGAAGTGGGGAAGATATGGCAGTGGCGTAGTGGGCAGACTGACGATGCATGCGAGGGAGGCCAGCTAGGTTCGGTGCGCTGGGGGCTGCAAAGCCCATCGTCAATTCCAGCTATTCGGCATCGGTTTTGCTGTGTTGTCACACCAAAAACGCAATCTATCTGTGCAAAACCCTCGAGCGCAGAAGAGCGCGGCAGTCCGAGCGGAAGGGATCTCTTTGCGTTGTGCATGGTCATCAAATAATCTGCAGGGCGCAATTATGTACACAAGCACGTGAGCAAGAGGCAGGCACCTGTTGAGCAAATGTCACAGGAGACGTTCAGTAACATGGGCTTCGGGGGCAAAGCAGGTTTCCGACATGAGGACCACCAGGTGCAACCACAAAGCAGAAGCACAGGAAAAGCAAGCACATCAACAACATAAAGTACTGTGGTACTGGACGAGGAGTTTTTGCTTCTCGTGAGATTCGTTGTGTCTCTATCCCTTGGTGCTCGGATCAAACGAGCTTGATATTGACCTTGTCAATTTTTTCAACCGCTTTTTGGTTGTCGCTTGATTTCATGTGGGAAGGGAAATTGCAACTGAAATCTCCAGCTAAGTGCACGAAAGCACGTAAGCGCCTAAATTGAAGCATCAAGCAGTCCAGCTCCGAAATTGCAACCAAGCGCCCAGAGTACGGCGTCAGCCCTGCCAGCTCCCAGCAATACAAGCGCCTAAGTGCCAGGAAAGCACCCGAACACCTAGTAGTGGAATCTATAAAAAGTACTTCAGTGCATGGAAGCACCTAAGGGTCTATGCTTAGAGTCCGAGGGGCCTCCGAGACCTGTACGCCTGGAGGCCTCGAGGCTTGGAATTGCGTGCCAGGTTTAGGACTTGGCAACAACCGGCTTAGAGAAGAGCCCTTCAGTGGCCGCAAAGCACCTTAGAGCGTTGAATCGCTTGCACGTGCCTAGCGGCCTGACAGCACCTATCAAGCGCACAGTTTTGCTGTATTCGCGGTTTGGATATGTTTGGATGCCCTGTAAAGTTTTCCAAAAGCCGAGCAGCACCTAAGCGCCTGAGTGCAGAAATGAGGCAAAGTAGCTTAAAATGTTTGGATCTTGCGTAGTGTTGTCGGGATTCGGGGGCTGAGAAGCTCGGGAGCATCGTCACGGCCCACCCTGGGATGAACAGGAACTTCGAGCCGGCTTAGAGTCTGAAGCGCACGAAACTCGACTTTTCTTTACTCTCGAAATTCTCATCCTGACGTCTCGAATATGCGAACCTGCATCCCGTTTTTGTATCCTCTGGTCGCACCATGTAACTGGGGCTCTGGTGGCGCACAGGCTGCAGCATCCCAAGCTTCCAAGACAAGGTGAACTCTAAGTTTGAGGTTGAAAGTGTTGATGGTTTCCGCCCGCAAAGCGCTCACCACTGGCCCAACTCTGAAATGTCATGAATTGTCTAGCCAAGGAGACCTCGGATGTCGGGTTTTGACAGTTTTCCAAAGTGCCGATGCTGAGGGGTCACAACGAAACGACAACGCCGTGCGTTGGACTCGAGACGGACCCCACTGACTGATACGATGGCATGCGAAAACTTTGGCTCGAGCGCATGGCACGACATCCAGTATCTTCACCAAAAGGCAATCGAGTGAAAGGCCATTCTCATTTTGGAGTGTTTTGGAGGCCCGGAAATGCTGAAGATGCCCAAACGCCTAAAGGGCCTAAAGGGCCTAGAGTCAGAAGTCAGATTTTCCGACTGCTCTCAAACCGGAGCGCTAGGTGCAGGCATTGGGGGGTTTTCCTTGCTGGCAGACCGGTTGAAAGAGAGACTTCTGAGCATGCATGCTGGAAGAAGGCCCTCCACATGGATCCAAACAAATGACCAATCCGGGAATCATCGGGAATCCGGGAACCCTTAGCACCAGCCCGGTCCCATTGCCGCTAATCAGCCGCTTGCGCAAGTGAAGCTCCGACAAGCGATGCGCTGCGCTCGTCGCAGACACCCTTTGTGCAACGAGGCTACCTGGGCTGCTCGAGAGCTTTGGGTGATTTCCGGTTCAAGGCCCAGGGGAACATGCGACATCGCTGCGTCGATTTTTTCTGAGTGCTCTGGTCCAGGAGGATGCTGCCCTTTTGCCGGAGCAGCAAAAGGCCAGGCCGCCATGCCTCCAGTCTCCGAGAAGTGCCTGGAGCCGGTGAGGTATCGGCCGTGCCCGAGGTCTACGTCTCCCGGTTGCAATCGGAACCTGTGCTTTCCAACCGCGTGGGCCGCGATGCGGGTGCGACGCGCGAGCACAAGCGTTTAGAGTCTTCGGCGTCCAACGCGCCCTCCGGGGTGCGAGGCGGGGAGGGATCGGAGGGGTTCCAGCGGGCGGGTCGGGATACTGGGTGCGGCGCGGGTGCGTGCGGCGTGGCGTGGCGTGGCGTGCGGACGTGGTTTCGCTGGTCGCGAATGTCGCGATGCGGGGTGCGGCGCGGGCCCAGGCCGGAGTGGGATTCCACCGGGCAGCTCGCGATGCGCGGAACGGCCACCGGTGCGGCACCGGGCGGGTCGCGATACGTGGTGCGGCGCATTGCGGCGCAGCGGGTGCGAAAACCGATGACCGGTTTCACTGGTGGGGGTGCGGCGCAGGCCGGGGCAGGTTTCACACAATTGGAAGGAAAACGCTCGTGTCACTGCTCGCGAGATTTGCTTTGTGGATGGTTTTTGGGTTGCCGGGTTACCCGGGTTGACCTTGTTTTCTTCGGCCTTCCGCTTGCGTCAGGAGTTCGAGTGCCAAAGTGGGGACGTCATTGTCTTGGCATGCGATGGAGTCTTCGATGTGCTGAGCAGCAGCAAGGCTCGTTCCTTGTCACTGCGCAAACTGCGAAGTCTTGCTGTGTCGCCTTCACAACCCTTCCAGGCGGCCTCGTCCCTGAGCAGCAAGCAGGATTCCCTTGTCCAGTTCAAGGCATTTGGATCCCCTTCAGGTTGGTGAGCAAAGAACTCCGCGAGACCGGAGATCCTACCGCTGCAGCGAAATCCATTGTCAAGGCGGCTTTGTCGGATCCAAGGCAGTATCTTGGCAGGATCTGAGCCATTTCCGCCACACAGTGTTGCCATACCATCGAAAGCCAAGCGACCAGTCCCACCTTGCACCTAGGCAGGACAATGTGACTTGCGTTGTGGCCCTGATTCAGTGAGGGATCAGCGTGAAGAAAAAGCGATGAAACCTGCACTCGGCAGATTGGGCGGTAGGTGAAACGGCGAGCGGGTGGGGTCGGGCGGGCGCGGCTCTGCACAGGACCGGCCTTGCTTGGGAGGATGTTTGCCCCCTCGATGGAAAGCACACTCCGCGAATAGCTGTTTTGCCTGGAAGCTCAGATGCAAGTAAACTCCCCTGCTCTTTCCGAGGCAACTCAGTCGTCAGTCCTCTGCTTTCCTCTGAGGAACGGAGCTTCTGCTGCTGATTCAGGCGGCTCTCAGTCCCACACAGCTCGCAAAAGGAGTAACTACTAGTAGTCTTCGTCGTCTGTTGAGGAGAATGTTGGCCTCTTCTACAACCTGAGCACGAAGCAGTATCTTCCTTGGCCACCGAGTGCGAAAGATACCCGTCATGTCCTAAAACCAAGGCCATCACCCAAAAATATGGTCACATGGCCAAGGCCGCAGCCGTCTGCTCTGTACGACTTCTGATTTATTATTCACGTGCAGGAAAGTCACCCATTTGGGTGCATCCGCAAATTATGCATCACGCTCAGACGTGAGGTGGCACTCAGCAGGTTCACGTATACCAGGCTTCATGCCTGCATCCGCGTGTTTCTATAAAGTCATTGTGATGCCACGGAGAACCTTGAACCAGCGTGCGCCGACTTCCATCAAGCATTGGCAATGACTGTACGAGTTTACACTGTTACATCGAGAACCGAAGCAGGCAACGACTGGTCAACATGCCGAGCCTAATCTGAACAAGGACAAACCATTGAAACAACTCTAATCCGTGGCACCTGCCGGTGACACTCATGGCCCACGACGAGGGCATTGAAGGACGGTCTTTGCAGTGCTGCAATTAGTTCATCGGAGAAAGCACATCTCGCTTCTTCAGGTTGATGGCACCTGGCACTGGAGTGGTCGACTTGAAGGGTCTCGATGATGTTCAGGCATGCTTCCTGGAGGGCTCCGCTTGCGAGCAGTGCTTTCTGCCTCCTTCCAGGTTCTTGGGTCATGGAACTTCACGCTTCAAGCGGCCAAGACCTCGGCGTAGTTCTCTCCGGTTTGTCAGCACGCTCAGCTCTTGGAGGATACGCCGCTGTACTGGCTCCGTTGTGGAAGACTAGACAAGTGCTCCAGGGGCAGCGGAAAGCCTGTCTGGTTCCTGATCTGCATCCAATTCGACCGGGCACTTTGCTCCCTCCGCGGTGGCACAGTACCGTGCTGCGTGATCTTACTTGTCTATCACGGGTAAGCGGATGAGATGGGCCTGGGCACTGTGGTCACATTGGGGTCCGAGGACTTGGTTCATTCGTTCGCGACGTGCGGATACGCGACTAAAATTGCAGTCGGGCCAGGTTTTCCGGAATACGTATGCTATGGTTGTTTGGCTTGATGAACCACTCTCCAGCCACAATCCCCCGCACATTTTGGGATGCCTTCGAGTTGAAATTGTGCTCCCGTCACGGTCCCGTGCTTGTTTTAGCTTTTGCCCTCAAAGCTGGTGGACGTCGTGGTGCTCGTGGTCGCCGTGATGGTGCCGCTATTTTTGGACTGTACATGGTGCGTGGTCTGTCACTGTTTGTGGATCTATGCTGGCACAATTTGGTCGGGTCTCTGTGCAGACGAGACGCGCGAAGTGTTCGCAAAGCTAGCTGTTCAGAAGCCTAACGCAGTTGTCGTTTGCAATCTCTCTTGCAGCATCGGAAACGAATCCGGAGCCTTATCAAACAGGATTAAGGGATACTCGCTGGCATGATCTTCTTCTAAGATATGAAGGCATCATCTGCGACAGTCTTTCAAAGAGCAGCATGGCAAGTCAGCGGCACTTAGCAATTCGCACTTCCTTTTCGGGCTTACCGTTCATGATTTCAACTCCGACTTGCCTCACGTTCACAGATTGCCTATCCTGGGAGGTACTTGATGAAGTTTAATGTCCATTCGCCTTGCCCCAGTACTTGTGGCATTGTTCTGCATGCGGAGGACTGGCAGCACCTCTCACCTGCAACCAAGCCAGCGATGGTAGCTGGCACCCAGTTTTTTGCAGGCCGACTTTGGTGGCACGGACGGCAGTTCCTTCTGGATAGAAAGGAGGACTGACACATGCAGAGTGGAGTGCTTGGATGGCAAGGCAAACAGCGCCAGGACTTCTGATGACGGACAGAGAACGAAGCGGTACTTGCTTTCTGGCGATGGCCTCGATTCGAGGCACGCGCCAACTCAATAATCACTGCTTGTGCAGCTTGCGCCAAGAAGCAGCAACGCGGCTGTGTGGGCGGTGCTGCTGGAAGGCCCATCGTGACCCGCCAATTTCCGGACTCTGGAGATCAACCAGAAGAGATTGAGGTGCTGATGCAAGGCTCCTGCCGTGAAGTGCTACAGGGACTCTGAATCGAAACATGTGCTCCTCCGCCAGGCTATTTTGGGGTGATAATGGTGCGACCCTCGGCTGTCGTGAGAGCATGCGGGACTCGTGATGAGACGGTGGCTGGTCGCATGGCATGGCATGGCCACTCTGAGTGTCGACCCTTGCGCCCATGAGGGTTCCTATCATTTCAATTTGAGCAGCCAAAGCTTTGTCTCGACTCAAAGGTTCAAAGCCGGAAGGTCCACTTGAAGTTCCGTTGCAAACGCAACAAAGGCAAGCCAGCCAGTATGTGCAACGCAATCGCGACGACAACGCATTTGCCACCTTTGTGGTCAGGTTCAATTGCCTTCTACAACACGACCCAAGGGGACAAAGACGACGTGCATTTCTCCGAGGCTGCTGGAGTTTTGCTACAAGTTTTACCGAGATTTCCAGAATTCAGGGCCTTTAGGGTTAGAGACGGTTAGAGGAGGCTTTGGAGATGTTGGGGGTTGGCAGATGTTACTCGTAGCAGCTTTCGCGGCTGCGCAGGTCCGCATCACGGCTCTTCGGCGCGGTCCCATGGAGATCGGCGGATTCCTCGGCCAACGCGAGCGCCAGATGCTGCAGCCTCAAGCTTCCAGATCGGAGCTCCTTTCACGTAGCATGACCCCTGGGTGTTCCAAACTAGGCTTGGCAGAGACAGAGAGGACAACTGACATGGGCGTAGTGTCGATGTTTCTGGATGTCGTGGCACTGTAGAGCGGAATGAGGGAATGTTGAGGGATGCGGGAGAGAGCTTTATGATGTGGTCCTGTTCCTTGTATCATGCTTCAGACAACGTGCAGGACCCCTCAGCGACGGTGCAAGATGAAGACAACGTGGGCCTGCGAAGCGAAGATGCAGGTCCTTTCGAAGTCTCTGGCCTTGAGGGCTATTGATCATGGCCTGCACCAGGAAATCCTGGATCACGTCTGACCACAACCTCTAGACCTACGCCATCTCATCGGCAGGCTGACGACTTGAGAGATCTCGGAGGAGTTCCGCTGCCGTCAAGTGCAGGCTTCCTCAACCCTGTTGAGTCCAAGCTCAACCGGCAAAAGGTTTCGAACCCCCGGGTGCCTGACATGTTGGAAGCAAGCTGCTGTATGATCTGGGACAGCTGCTCCGTAGAAGGTCTCAGCATCAAAGCAGTGACGTCCTCCAAAGGAGCGCGTCGGGTCCCGTGCAATTGCATCTAGCCATGGTCCGAAGCAATCAGCATTCGCTCTTGTCGCCATACAGGTCTGACGTCGTGCTGAAGTCCGGTAGCATGAAGTCCACCAGGTTCCCAGCTTTTCGCAGCCACGCAGCAAAACACCGACTAGGGAAGATGTGTGTCTCTTGTCAGGTTCGCTTCCACGGGGAAGACAGGGAAGACAAGGCGACACAAGCCGTTTGCTGTGCGTGCATGGCTCTGTTTCGCCCGTCAGCAAGCTGGGAGGCCAAAAACTTAGTTCCGAAGTTTCATCTCTCGGGATATCTGGAAGGTGGATCCCTCTTGCCAAGAATGCCCCGGCGAGCGAGAAGCAGCTCATTCGGGACGGGAGCTTTGGGTTATTTCCTGGACCTGTACATCATGCAATCATTCTTTGTGTCTATCTCCACCTTTATGTCAATCTCACTCAATGTTTGTCCGATCCTCCTCATGTCAGTTTTTGTTTGGACATCGTGGCACCGCCCGCAGGATTCCATGCCCAAGCTGCCAGCTTCGAAGGAGTCCTGTCAGGCCTGTCTGTGATTCCTCTAGATATGAATGTGCCATCTTGTGATGCTAGTGCTGTGGTCTAGACCTTGTAGGATTTCATCGCTATGCCGCTTTGAGGATGCAGAATTAACTGCGTAGTCCGGTCGCAGCAAGACTGTCAAACCAAGCATCTCGAATGATCGCAAGTTGCTGTGTGTTACAATGCACTTGTGAATATGCACATGCACCTATCATTGAGCATATGGGCAGTCTCACCCGACGCTAGGTTGTTCTTGTTCCTGCAGTTGCGTGAACCGCAACAGCTTGCACGGCTTCAGTTTCAAGGCTAAGCCTTGACAGCTCGAGACGCACAGAATGCATTTCGCAAATCGCCCCTGTCAGATGCAGACTCTGTCCGACTCTGCCATGCATTACGAGCTCTGTGCTGGCTCCGCAGCTGTCCGACAATCGGCGTGCGACCTGCAACAGGATAACCGAGGGTTCAGGAGTCCAAAGACGAAGCCTTTAAGGAGTAGCTTTTTCAGATTTTGGTTCTGGCTGTTTCCGACTTGAATAACTATTCGTGGCCCTTGCCGAGAGCGCTTCTTTGCTGGGCCATGGTCCCTTTCCTGCCACCCGGCTGCAGTTGTTTGCAGTTCCAGCACATCTGGACGCGCTCAGCTGCTTGAAGCTTAGGGGATCTTCAAGGGCAGACGGCATCAATACCTACACGGCTATTGAACCACCGAAGCCCGAGTTCTCAATATTTGCAGCTCGGCGACAGTAAGAAAAGTTGAGCTGAAGTAGCAGCTGGTCATGTCAGGATTGGCTGGGAGTGTGCTGCTCGGAGCAGCCTTCCAGAAATCTGGACCGGTGCAGCACTCGCTTTTTGGCCTGGCCACCATGATGTGTCTTGAACCAACACCTCCGGCAGGACTATCGCCTTCGACAGCGGGAGGAAATCATCATTGGACAGCTCCAGCAGGAGGCAAACGACAAGAGGAACCAAGATTGGACGTCGATCCAGCATGACCTCGTCATATGTCCTAGCTGCTTTAGTCTGCGAGAGCTTTCCAGCAGTGGAAGTTATGGCAGGTGCTGGTGGCTTTCGATCCAGGTGCTATGGACTCTTGGCATATTCTCAGATTGAGCATCTCCTGTTCATTGCATTCAGCCGGCCACCCCTCTTGCTGGACGGCTATCTTGTGCCGCTTAGTGCAGTCCTGTGGTTTTTGTGACTGAGCAGCTTGAACGCATAGCTTTGCACGTTTGCAGCCGAGGAGCATGAGGCATCTGGATTGTCCTTGTCCTCGCATGGATCTGCTCGACGTGCGTGTCCCCCGCTGGCTTAGTGCAGGCGTTCTTGCAGGAATACTTCAAGGTATCGGAGCTTTTGCAATCGAGTCCATGCTGTGGCATGCTGTGGCACATGTTTCAGGTCTTGCACTGCTTGTGGTGTGTAGGCAGCAGCGCCTGCACTCTCGCCGCTGGAGAAGAACCGTTCTCTGATCGAGAAGCTCCCAGAAGGTCCAGCGGGAGCCTGGGAAATGGCATGTAAGACTTGGTCGAGCTTGTGAAAGCCACAGGGCGACGGGATCACAGATGGAAGGAGCTGGGCTTCCAGGATGAGGACTCATGCAGATTTCACTCGTGATCACTCGTGCTACCTGAGCTGTAGGGTGTACGGCATGTCCGCCCGACAGTCCGACAGGATCCACGCACCGACTTCCGCGGTGGGGGTTTGCTTTCCTTGAAATGCTTGTCGGCTCCCCAGTGCGAAGGAACTTGCGCGCAGGGTCACTTTGGCCGACGCTTAGGCCTTTCGTGCTAGTCCTGGTTAAGTGTGTGCCGGTCAAACCGGCAAGGATGCAACGTATCTGGGTATTGAGGAAAGAATTCGGGGCTGTACCGTTCCAGACTCTTGGGAACCACAGGTTGGCGTGAATCAGTTCAGGATCTGACTCAGCAAGAATCCTTTATCGACAGACTCAAGTCATCTCATTACCGCACATTTGTGGTATCGCTGAGACCATCAGTCACAGCTTACAGGAAGAGGCGTCCAGCCCGAAGATATGATAAGATATGGTCTTGTCCACGAGTCTCCTCAGTGTGAAAACATGCTTCTACCCCAAATTCGAGAGGAGTGGTGTGCTGTGCTTGAGTGTCGACGCTTGTTGCGACAAGCCGTCGGCCTGTTACGCTCCTATCTCCCAGCTGCAACAGCGGTCAGACCACTTCGGCGAACTGTGGTACTGTGCCCGTCACTGCGTTGTGTGTGTGTGTGTGTGTGCATGCAAGCGCCTGCAGTATTGTCAGGCTGGCTAATAAGCTTAGGTGGCGACGAGATTTTGAATGTTGTTGGTTTGTATCTGGCGTTCAGGCACAAATGTGATCGCACGTTGTGCAAAAGCTACTTGTACCAATGTACGAAGACAAGACCAGTATTACTTGCCTCCCAACTTATGACACATTACGTAACTGCACATTGGCTGTCTCTGCCGCTGCTAGAGAGGGCTTCTGGGCAGGTTGCACATGACAGAGCACGATTCGTCGGAGTCCTGGAAGAGCCAGCATCATGCTTGGGTGTCTCTCTAGGTATCCTTGTTCTTGAGGAAGAGAGTGTGCCAGCTGATTCGCGAAAGTTCGGGAGCTGGGTGCCGTGACAGCATTTGTCCATGCACTTGTCACTTCAAAGGCTTGCGGCTCACACATCTTTGCTTATGTATCCCGCGTGCATGGAGGCAAAAAGATGAAGGGACTTTCTATCCATTCGCAGCTGCACCTCGGTAGCAGAGGGGAATGGGAATGCAAGACGGTTCACATGCACTCGATGAAACAAGCCTGGCTGAACGCATGCCAGAGTCCGTTGTCCCTTTTTGTTGCAGCTGTCCAATGTAGGCAATGTGTGGCATCCCCTGCTTACTGAGCCTGCTGGGTGATGTGTTCTCTCGGCATCTCGGCGCCCCCTTGCTTGCACGGCCATTCGGCAGGCCGTGATCAACGTCTGCTTCAGATTGTCGCGGATCCAAGCGTTTCGTTTTGTGGGATCACGGGATCCAAGCCAGAAGCGAGCTCTCGCAAGCGTCTCTTCCGAGGGCCGGCTGGCTGATGCTGGATTTACGACGGGCCCGCCAGGCCGAGCGGCCTCGGGCCAGTGCGTCAGGGCGACTTCAGAGAGAATCTGAAGCGCGCTGTAGGTCAAGGCGGAGGATGTTTGCCGGGCAGCTCGGAGGTCTGCAAAGAATACAAGTATCCTAAAAAAGCATGAGGCACCGGATTTGAATATCGACGATTTGCTGAGTTGACTGTTCTTGAGTGGGAAGCTCAGCCTTCTTGGATTAGGAAGCCAGCGCGCATGAGTGCATAAATGGAGTCTGGCCCGACACCGAGGCCGGAGACATTTCTACTTCTCGCCACATCTGCCGTTGTGGCTGTGCATGAGGTTCTTCCGTCCATTGAACAGCTTGGCTTCCCGCTGTGCTTGAGTGTGCACTGCTAGGAGTGGCGCACCAATCTGTATTCTGTACTTCAGTCCCGGCCACAGCTGCCCATGACAGTCCGGACAGGAAGAATAAGCAAAAAATGTGCAGGTTTTCCCGATGCGTGGATGCCGCAATGAAGAGGGTGTCTCTATTCCTTACGCAGACTACAAAGGAGTGATGCTGTGAATGGTGTGCAAAATGATAGCAATTTTGCAGCCCAAGATGCGTGTCATGTCACGGACTAGGAGCCTGCAGACAAAGCACTGGCGCGCTTACGTAACACGTGGACACTGCAACTTGGACTAAACCGGAAGGGATCTGGGTTTTCGGCTAATGTAGAATACAGGTGGCAGCACATGTTTCCCAAATTCTAGGTCTGTTTATTGCATTGCGAGTGGTTTGCAGGCCGGAGCTTGCTGCAACGACGAAGATATGAGGCTCACACGACCTGTGCGGAAGGACCCAGCATGTCTGACGTTTGGATGCAGCCAGGCTTTCCCATGACCATTTGGTAAAGACTGGCAAGATCTTCCAATATTGCACTGATCTCCCGCTGGCCTCAGTGCACAAGCATTCAGGCGCAAAGCATTTCATTCCCTCGGGTCTTACGGTCGTGTGATGCAGGTTTGCAACTTACGAGCAACCCTTCCGTGTGTGCCTAACCAACAGTTGCTGTCTGCCGGCATAGGGATGCAAAGACATCACAGTCACCAGCGCCTTCGCGTTGCCCACAGATCGTCACAGTAGCCCTTCGTTTTGTTGGGAAGGGTGGCCAAGCCTCCCTTCTTGACTTAAACCATCTGCGGCTCCCGTGTAGTCGTTTCATAGCTGGCTCCCAAAAAGAGGAATCATCGAGTCTATGACTCCATGACAGCGAAGTCGCTTTGTCTCTGCTTTAGGCAACTGTCGCCCCGAGGTCTTTGGCAGCTCTGGCCTGGGTCAACTGGACATTTTTGGCATCCAAGATCAGAAGAATTGCTGCTTCCTCTGAAGTCCAAGCAGATCGACACATTCTTGAAAGCATCTCTTGAAACCGCTGGTCAATGAGTTAGCTCGTGCAGCTTCAGGTCAGACTCTAACATTGGATGTTCTCGACTCAGTTTCAAGCTGCTGATGGTTTTGCTCAGATGCTGCTTCTTCGTGCATGCTTCGGGGCTTTTACGCGTTGTGGCCTTCAGTTAACAATGGCACAGGATACAGAGCGGCTTCATGGACTCCTTGCAACTGTGTGTTTTACTGTCATGTGGCATTGCCATGCCCTGGAACATCGGCCGGTACATACGGTCGTATGAGCTCATGATTGAAGCTGCCGTATGTGTCGCATCTCCAAGGGCGTGACGGTGTCTATTTGTCAAGCAGGCCGGAGCTAAAGCAGCTCAAGCATTTGGCTCTTTGGTCAAGCTGAAGTGCTGTAATCTAGTGTCAAATTGCACCACAGACAGTTGAGTACAGCGGCATGCTGTGATCAGGTGCGGGTCGGGCCCTAATTGCCGCTGAGACGTCAGTGACCTGCTTGAGCCCAATTCCGTTTGAGAAACAGGCTGCGGATGCTTGTCAACATGGCACTCTGCTTTTTGCGGTTCCCGCTTCACCCCGGTTTGAGACGACCGTGTAGAGGTAAAGAAGCTGCTCTTGCAAGCCGAGCTCCCAGCTCCTGCCTGTGTGTGTATTACCTACCAGAGTCTACCTACGCCTTGGCACAACTTCGCGGCTACTGGCCAGGTCCGCATCAATGATGCTCGAGAACTCATCACTGCCACATATGGTGCCGAACTGAGTGTGGAGCATGGAATGCGCTCCATAGAACCCGCAAGAACCCGCAACATGCAGCAGTGGCGGCCCAGGTCCAGAGGACCCCGAGAGACAACTGCAGCTGCAGCGATTTCAAAGACTAGCCGGTTGGGTTTCTCCCTTACGATTTCTTGCCGTTGCCTTTGTAGGCCAGACCAACGAACGCACCTTTTTGACCAGACTGGTTCATCGACTTGATTTTGCCAAGGCATTATTCAAGGACCTGCAGTTTCTGCAGGCTTTTGAACACTTCATGTGCCCACGAATCTGGTTCCGCCTTTGGGACGTAGGAGTGGTCAACCAACCTGTTCTCGTGAGGTACTGTGTCGATTTTCGAGTGGACCAGGTGTTGATGTTTTGGGGCGCCAAGCCTATCTAGTGCCGTCCACGTTGGTCTCCACGATTCATGCAATGTTGTTGAGTTGTGAGGCTGCCTTGCCAAGCATAGCAGCAAAGGTCGCCACCTACCAGCAGGATGGGAGCCAGCTACCGCGAGGCAGTGTGCAGAGAAAGAGAGGAATACTGTAGCCGACATGAGCCTTATGATGCTGAGTCGTTCCTGTAAGTTCGATCCTCCGCCTTGCAGCAGTTTTCCAACAACCTTGCGCTTGCCGGTACTTGTAGCGACGCCTGGCAGTTAACCGATACACGAATGTGTGGTCGTGGGGGGGTGGCCACTCAAAGCTGTGGGGGGTCACTGGGAGGGGATGAAGAAGGAGGCGAACCAGGAAGTCTGAGCGGGAACCTCTAACCGCTTCGGCCGGGGCCAAGGCAGATTCAATATATTGTATTCTTGTGTCGGATCAGAGGTGCAGCGCTATGAAGAGCCGCACCGAACACTTTCAGCATCTGGACATGCACGGCACTGGCAGAGCACGTCTCTCAAGCAGAGCACTAGCAAAGAAATGGACCGTTTGCGACATTAACTGGAAAAGGCACTCCAAAGGTGAGGGAGCCATGCTACGGTTGAGGCTGGGGTCATCACACCCGCCGTGATGTATGATGGAAAGACAGTGGGCAGTCAGTGGCTCTTAAATCCCATGATCCCATGCCGAAGTTCAACGTGAAGTTCCAAGAGCGCAGGAATCAAGGAGAATTGACAGTGTTGGCTTCTATCACTTCTGACAGGGGTCCAAACGAGTAGAATTGTCAACCTGGGTATTGTTACTACCTTCGTGCTGCAAAACTGGCCACAGACGAACTGATCTGTTCGAGAATCGGCTTGCTCGTGTCATTTCGCTTCCTTTTGAATCCTTTTGAGTAGTTGGCTGGGGTTTTTCCTTCCGTGTTGGTCTTCGGGATGCATTGTGCGCAGCATAAGGACATCAGTTGCAAGATTTTCCTTTCTTGGATCGGCCTTGCAACCCTGATTCAGGCACGAAGATGATGGGTCTCCTGAGCGCATGGCCAAGGGAAGCATTTTTTAAGCGGGGATGCAAGTAATTTCCGACGAGGCCAGTTGACATCATGGACTTTGTCCGCAGCAGACTTGCAGAACGACAGCCGCCAGAGGCGCCGACCGAACACACCCAGTCCTGCTGCTGCATTCAGAAGCACTTCACCAAGTAGCGCACACACCAAGGCCGGTGATGCTGCAGTGTCAGCAAATGTTGGCTTGGCCAATGCAGCCAGGGTCTCGAGGAAGCATTTCAGTCTTTCACGCAGGAGTCAAGGGACAGCATGCGTCTGCATGACTCTGCTGGCCGTTCACTCTTCGAAGAAGCACGACGAGAACGCTTGGATGCTAGGTCCTGCTAGGGTAGCTGCTCGTGTTTGGCACTTCTGATCAGTGCGCTGGAGTCCTGCAGCCATCTCGCCAAGCACCGCGGGGTGGAGTTCGTAGGGCCAGGTGGCAAGCATGGGTCTTTGCGGAGGCCCATGGTGTTGCTTCGAAATATGATTCATTAAACTGCATTGTGCTGGCTCCATCCCTTCAACAAGTTTCCTAGAAGATGACATCGACTTGCCGAGACGCTGTAGTGACTGCAGTGCTTCGCTGTACCTTCGATGGCTGCAGGGAAGTCGCCTGGTCCAGCACAAAGCCCACCGCCAAAGACAAGAGATTCCAGCGCCATCAAGAAAGAAGTCAAGGCAGCTTGTTCTCCACCCTCATGCGTATTCACTGATCTACGTGTAGCCTTCGTATGCTGCGCCTCGCTGCAGCCCTGCAAATGTTACCAGTAGCCGAACAGGATGGTGGAATCGGCTATGCGCAGTTCATCATCGAGAACACGGGCAAGATCACAGAACACTACCAGTTGGTCGGCGTGCTGCTGCTTCCAGCAAGATTCAAGAAGCTGTGCTATGCCCTGCAGGACAAGAAAAAGCTTGGAGAGGGTTCCTATGGCTCAGTCACCAAGGCTACCAACATCTCCACCAAGGCAGGATCGCTAAAATGTTCCACAGTGAGAGTGCGACAAAGATACACACGGATGTGGCCTGATCAGGCCATCAGAGCAGTCAAGACAATATCAAAGACTCAGATGAAAAACATTGAGCGTTTCAAGCAGGCGCTTCGGTCATGTGTATGCTTGGGACGGCAAGCATGTCGGGAATGTGCGGGGCTGACCCAGGAGATTGCCATCATGAAGATGATGGATCATCCGAACATCATCAAACTGTATGAGTCGTTTGAGGATATCAGGCTTCGCGCTCAACAGCTGTTGTTCGAGTTCAGTCCATCGGCAGACTTTAGAGCTGACCATGCGAGACTCGCGGAAGTTTGCGAAAGGAACATTTACCTCGTCATGGAGCTGTGCGCCGGTGGCGAGCTTTTTGATCGGATCATTGAGTCTGGCCATTTCTCGGAGGCCATGCTGGAAACAGCACTATGGCAATTGTGTTGCCTTCGTTAATGCAGATGTCCTGCAGGTCCAAGCAGCCATATTGATGCAGCAGATCATCCGCCAAGATCTGAGTTTGCGATTTCAGTCTCGCTAGAAGGATGCACCCACGAAGATTCCTGATTCGCTTCATCGCGAGTTCTATCTGCTTTGCTCTTCTTGCGTTCCTACGCTGCCAGGGGAGTAAGTCGAGCGATTAGTTGTGCTTGCAGCGACTACCACACGTCAGTGCGATCATGTTGACATTTATGGGAGGTGCAATCTACTACATGCACGAGAACCACATTTGCCATCGTGACCTGAAGCCAGAGAATTTCCTTTTCATGACCAAGGAGAGGATCAACAAATGATGGCCTTTGCTCTCTTTCGACACGCTCGCTTTGTCAGGATCCCATTGAGAAAAACTTTCTCAAGATCATTGATTTTGGACTCTCTTGCAAGTTCAGCCCGGACCAGGTGACATCTGCATAGGGCAATGTGTGCTTGCAATGCTAGCTTGTGTGAAGTTCTGGTGGCAAGGCTCTCACAACGAAAGCTGGGACGCCTTACTACGTGGCGCCGCAGGCTGGAAATGGAAAGCCGGAATAAATGTCGATGAGTTAGGGCAGACCTGCTGTTGAAGCATGGATTTCCTGTCAGGTCTTAGCTGGCAAGTACGACCAGCAGTGTGATATTTGGAGCTGTGGTGTGATCATGTATGTGCCTGTGGCCAACAGCTTTTTTTGAGTGGAGTGATGCATATTGGAGCCCAAGCTTTTCGGGTTGTTTATGCATCTCCGAAGCACAGGTGCTGCTGTGTGGATATCCGCCTTTCTTCGGTGACACTGATGCAGACGTACTTGCAAAGGCCAGCCGAGATAGTGCCGGTGATTTGGGACTCGTCAGCAAGCGAGCATTGCGAGGTCCGACTCGGCAACTTCAACTTCAATCCGGCAGACTGGAAGAACGTGCCGATCGCCCGGCAAAATGCTGTTAAGGGAAGCATTTGCTCTGAGACTCCTTCCATCCAGGTCTGACGACGCGAAAAACCTAATCCGGTGGATGTTGAAGATGAATCCTCGTGACCGATATACAGCTGAGCGGCTGGGCAACAACTGGCTGTCTCCGGTGTCAGGTGTTTGAGCATGTAGGATACGCAGACAGTCAGTTTGGTGTTCAGGATGCTCTCTAGACTCTAGATCTAGAGTGGCTTTCAACAACTTTGACACCAGCACTCATCACTAGCAACTTTCCGGCGGTGTGCTTTCGACGGAATGTGCGGGCATTCAGGGAGAGTCAAGGCACGCAGGAACACCACGAGCTGCAATACTGTCCGTTTGTTTGAAGGTCAGCTGTCCTGTGCATGTGAATTGTGCGAAAAGCAACAGCAGTCTTGAGGATCACGGCCCAGACACCTGTGCCATTTGCGGGTCTGACCAACAGGCACTGGAGAAGAGAGCATGCAACAACGACAACTGACACGCAGGTCATGGCCCCACAATCCCAAACAGAACCAAGGCAACAGCTACAGGACTGTGTTTCAAGTGCTTGTGGCCCTTCACGCCGGTGGTTTCTCTTTTCACGCTGGCACGCCTGTTCGTAGCCATCTTTCTCTTTTTAGGCTCGAGGGGTTGGAGGGAGGGGACTGGGAAACGTGCCCTATTTATTCGGTCGTTACGCCGGTTGCCGTCTGGGTTTATGCTCCTCGGCACCCCTGTCAGGTGCTAGGTAGGGTACAAGGAGATCGAAACAGGACTTAAGCAGTGGGTGGGTGGGGGAGGGGGGCGCGAGGTGTGCGCAGGGGCTTGCAAAGAGACACAGGACGAGAACAGCAAGAGTGTTGTTGTTGTCGGCGTCGTCGTCGGTGTTGTCGTCGTGGCCGTCGTCGTCGTCGCCGGTATCGTCGTCGTCGTGGCCACGTCCTCCACCAAATGTATTGTGGAAGACAAACACGACGACGAAGCCTCGTCCTCATTCCTTTTGCTGTGTGCTACGACGACGGCGACTACTACTGCTACTACTACTCCGGCTGCTGCTACGACGACGACGACGACTACTACGACTACGACAACGACGGCGACTGCTACTACACTCACTACTACACCTGCTACTGCTGCTGCTATTGCCACTTGCTATTACTGCTACGACGACGACGACTACTACTACCGCTGCTGCTGCTACTGCTGTTACCATTACTACTACTACTACCACTACTACTACTACTACTACTACTACTACTACTTCTACTACTACTACTACTACTACTACTACTACTACTAGTACTCCTCCTCCTCCTCCTGCTGCTGCTGCTGTTGCTACGACGACTGCGTCGGCTGCTGCGACTGCCACTGCTACTGCTACTACCACTACTGCCACTACTACTACTACTACGACGACGACGACCACGACTACGACTGCCACTGCCGCTGCCACTGCCACTGCTTCTGCTGCTCCTGCTACTGCTGCTCCTGCTGCTACTGCTGCTACTACTACTACTACTACTACCACTACTACTACTACTACTACTACTACTACTAGTACTAGTACTACTACTACTACTACTACTACTACTACTACTGCTGTGACTGCGACTGCCGCTTTTGCTGCACTACTGCGACGTGGTTGGCTTGTGCGGTGCTTTGGTGGGTTCCGCTGACTAAGGCCAAGTGATGGGATTGGGAAATAAAACTCTTGTGCATAACTCTAGCCCAACAGCATGGAAAAACGAGATGTAGCTTGTGAAAAATTGAAGCCACCATGTGTCGTTAAGCGGTTTTTGTTGCTTGTTTTCTGCTCAAGGCTTGTTGCCATGCAAAAAGATTTCTCTGAGCTTGCATGCTGCATGAGCGTTGAATGCTGAGAGTAAGCCAGGCAAATTTGTGCAAGATCAGTGTCATCCAAGGCAAGCTTTAAATCATGAGTGGATCAAGAACAAGGCGCCAAGAGCTCAAGCAGTGCACGCACCTCAGTCTTTCAGTTTCATGCACTTCTTTGCTGCAAACAGTTCATAATAGCACAAGCTGCTGTTTCCCATTTCTGCCGTCTAGAGCCTTAAAACTTCCGATGCAGCATTGTTTAGGCAGTTTCAGTTTCGTCGGCTGCAGCATGTGCATACCACTCGATCCAGACGGCACCGTCTTCGTGCAGTTACTTTGCAACTATCTGAAGGATGGTACAGGGCACAGGGATGCCTGTCGAGGGTCTTTCCAGAATGTTCTCTACAAATTCGGAGCACATGAGTCAAAAGTATCAGCAAGTAGTAAGTAGCTAAGTGGTTGTGTTTTGCCATCATGCTTCCAGCCTCAGAACCGACGGCCTCTGGACCGAAGGCCTTTGCGTTCAAACTTCGTCGACAATCTGCGGGGCTTTCAATCCCAGAACAAGCTGAAGAAGGCCGGCGGAGGCTTCACATGTTCAATTGATTTGGGTGCATACTATACTTTGCGGAGGTGTGCAGCCGATCGGTGTTGGTGATGGTGGTGTCATCTTTCGGCAGTAGCTGTTGGTGGGGTGCAGTGGTGCTTGGAGTTAGCCAGGCCTCACTCTTTTAATTCCCCTAACTACATGGGCAGTTCATTTCCCTTCTCTGAGGATGTCGGCAGGTCTGATACTAAGGGCGGCGCTGGCTTACGGCACGTCTAAAGTTGACAGCCCATTCGCCAGCTATGAGCAGAGCAAGCTCGCTCAGCGTCCAATACAAAATTGTTGTTGTTGTTGTGGTTGTTGTTGCTGTTGTTGTTGGCGGCCCTTGCGCCGCCGGGGATGGTGTGTCGGTTTCAGGCCTGAAGTGTCGAAACTTGAATTT